GAAGAAAGATCTCAAATTAACAGCCTTACTTGACAACTCCAGGAACTAGAAAGAGAGGAGCAAACAAAGTCTAAGCCCACCAAAAGAAAGGAAATAACAAAGATCAGAGCAGAAATAAATAAAATCAAAAACAGAAAAATAGAGAGATTCAATAAAACCAGATGTTGAGTCTTTGAAAAGATCAGTAAAATTGACAAGCCTTTAGCTAGACTGACAAATAAAAGATGTAAATAACCAAAACAAAAACTGAAAGAGGGGACATTACAACTCACCCTATAGAAATAAAGAGAATTATGACAGATTATCAATAACAGTGTGGCAACAAACTGGATAACCTAGATGAAATGGATAAATTCTTAGAAGCACACAACCTACCCAAACTGACTCAAGAGGAAAGAGAAAGTCACAAGAGACCCCATAACAAGTGAAGAAATCAAATCAGTGATCAAAAGCTTCCCAACAGAAAAAAATCCTGGATAAAATGGCTTCACTGGGGAATTTTACCAAACATTCAGAGAAAAAGTGACACCAATACTGTCTAAACTCTTCCAAAAGATACACAAGGAAGGAGTACTCTCTAATTCACTTTATGAAGCAAACATAACCCTGATATCAAAACTAGACAAAGACATCTCAAGAAAAGAAAATTACAGGCCAATATTCCTTATGAATATAGATGCAAAACTCCTCAACAAAATACTAGCTAACACAATCCAACAGCATATTAAAAGAGTAATACACCATGACCAAGTGGAATTTATTCCAGGAATACAGGAATGGTTCAACATTAGAAAATCAATCGGTGTAATATACCACATCCATAGAACAAAGGAAAAGAACCACATGATCATCTCTATGGATGCAGAAAAAAACATTTGATAAAATCCAACATCCTTCTTGATGAAAACCCTAAAGAAGACTGGAATAGAAGGGAAATTCCTCAAAATTTTTCAGGGGATATATGAAAAGCCAAGAGCCAACATTATACTTAAAGAAGAAAGACTGAGAGCTTTCCCCCTGAAATCGGGAACAAGACAAGGGTGCTGACTCTCATCATTTCTATTCAATATTGTATTAGAAGTCCTACCTAGAGAAATAAGACAAGTATAAGAAATAAAAGGTATTCATATTGGAAAAGAAGAAGTAAAATTATCTCTATTTAAGGATGATACGATCCTATATTTAGAAAGCCCCAAAGAGTCTACAAGAAAACCTATAGAGCTAATAGAGGAATCTAGCACAGCTGTAGGCTAAAAGGTGAACAAACAATCTGTTGAGTTTGTATACACCAGCAAAGAGAAATCTGAGAGGAAAATGAGGGAAACAATTCCATTTACAATAGCATCTAAGAGAATAAAATACCTAGGAATAAATCTAACCAGGGATGTGAAGGACTCATACAATGAAAACTATAAAACACTGCTGATATAGATTAAAGAAGACTTAAATAAATGGAAAAATGTTCCAAGTTCATGGGTTGGAAGACTTAATATTGTTAAGATGTCAATACTACCCAAAGCAATCTATGGACTCAATGCAATCCCAATCAAAATTCCAACAGCCTTCTTTACAGAAATAGAAAAACCAACCCCCAACTTTACATGGAATGGCAAGAGGCCCCAGATAGCTAAAACAATGTTGAAAGAGAAGAACAAAGTAGGAGGGCTCACACTTTCTGATTTTAAAACATACTACACAGCTACAGTAATCAAAACAGCCTGGTTCTGGTATAACAATAAACACATAAACCAATGGAATAGAATTGATAGCCCAGAAATAAACCCACACATCTATAGTCAACTGGTTTTTGACAACGGTGCTAAGTCCATTCCATGGGGAAAAAAAGAGTATCTTCAATAAATGGTGCTAGGAAAATTGGATATCCACATGCAGAAACAGGACCCATGCCTCACACCATACACAGAAACAAATTCAAAATGGATTAAGGACCTAAATGTGCAAACTAAAATCATAAAATTCTGAAAAGAACAAGTAGGGTCAACGTTGTCAGGCCTAGTTTTCAACAATGGATTATCTAATACAATAACAAAAGCACAAACAGCAAAAGACAAACAAATGGGACCTTACAAAAATTAAAAACTTTTGTTCATCAAGACTTTACCAAAAAAGTGAAAAGACAAGCTACCGACTAGGAGAATATCTTCAGAAACCATATTATCCAACAAGAATTTAATAACCAAAATATATATGAAATTTTGACAACAATAAACAGACAAATCACCCAATTATAAAATGGGCAAAGGACTCAACATTTCATCAAAGAGGACATTCAGATGGCCACCAGACACATGAAAAGATGCTTAGCATCATTAGCCACTAGAGAGATGCAAATTAAAACCATAATGAGATACCATTTCACTCTCTCTAGAAGTTATTAAAAATATATATAATGTATGGCCACACTTAAGCCACTAGAGAGATGCAAATTAAAACCATAATGAGATACCATTTCACTCTCTCTAGAAGTTATTAAAAATATATATAATGTATGGCCACACTTATATAAAAAAAACAAAAAAAAGACAAATGTAGAGACCAAAGTTTATTAGTGGTTACCAGGGTAGGTAGAGGGGGAAGAGGGTGTTATCAGTGATGGAAAAATTGCATTAAGGGTAGGGTTGTACAGTTGATTATTGTAATTACTGTAAGTTGTAACCCTATAAAAAGTTGAACTGGCAAAAGTTGTGTAACAGATATATTTACAACAATGAACAAAAAAAAAAAAAAAAGAGTAGCCACTGAGGCTGCTTATGTACAACCTTATGGGATTTAGTTCCTTGGTTTGGAGGTTTAAGGCCATGATTTCATGTGACATCCCAGTTAGTTGACCTAATAATGTGTTTAGTGCTTCTGTTCCACCCCCTAGTTCATTGTCTTAAAAGTTTGCAAAGGGCGATCCAAGGCACAGAAATTGGTATCTATTCAGTTGGAGCAACAGAGGAAGAAGACTCAGGAATAGGAGGAGGAGATCGAATGTGTGGCTAATTGCCTCCATGAACAACTGCCTCCTTTGCGATGAGACCAGAAGAAATGGATCATGCCCGGCTACCATTACTGAACAGTCTGATCAAAGATTCCATAGAAGAATCCTGATCAAAAGGGGGGAAACACAGACCAGAATTTCAAATTTTCAGACTCTAGACTTTCTGAAGCCATGGAGGATGGATAAACCCCTGAAACTACTGCCCTGAGATAAGCTTTAAACCTTAAACCAAAAATATCCCCTGAAGTCATTTTAAAACCAAACAACAGTTTAGCTTAACTAGTAAAAAAAAAAAAAAAAAGATCTGCATTGAGTATTATGCTCTTTTAAGAACTATCCATATGGGATCAAACTGACAACAGCAACTCAAAAGACTGGGTGGGAACCTTAGGGGGCAGTGTGTTTATGTTAATGAGGGAGGAACAACTCAGAAAAGGAGGGTGAGAATGGTTGCACAACTCAAAGAATGTTATCAGTGTCACTAAATTGTACATCTAGAAACTGAAATTTAGGAAAAAAAGAAAACAAAAAACTCCAAAGCTATAATGAAAAGTTGGATCAAGTAAGTAGTTTGCTTTATACACCTGAACTCCAGAGAAGAATTACTGTCATGACAGTCCTCAGGATTAGAAATTTGTTTAAGAGAACTTAACATGTTGTGCAAAGTATTAAACACAACTTGCACCATTAATGGAAGACATTATTGTTAAGGCACTGTTATGCTATAAGTTTTTAGAAAAAAAAAAAATTATGCTCATGAGGATTCATATAATAATTGGACCAATGAACTGAGAACTCCCTGTCCACACTAAATGGCTGTAGGGTTCTGATAAGAGCGATAACACCTGTTTATGCAAAGGCCAAATTGTTTCTCCCTGAGACTACCTCAAAGAATGGCTTTGATGGAAAATCCAGTATTTTCTAGAATACAGGTAATGCATAATGTTTACTTTTGCAACAGTGCTAGCATGACATTTAAAACTGAACAAAATAAAAATCAATTCTGTGAGAAGTGAGGAAGTTATAACACCCCAAACTTTAGGGGAAAAAAAAACCAAAAACTCAAAAACACTGAATAGTCTCATTATCACTTTAGAATTGTCACAGATCACTACGGTGTAGAAGAAAGAAAATTGGACTCCCATATATACCCAACCTGAGCAAATCACCCTACCTCTATTCCTTCAAATGTAAAGTATTAAGACAAATTCCAAGGGTCAAAGCGTGGTAAAATTTAATCATAAACAATGTTTAAATATGTACTGTTAATTACAATATTATACAGTAGGGAAGGGTAAAAATGGAAAAAGGTAGGAAAAAGATCTAATAGAGCAATGTTGTAAACATGCGAGCTAGGATAGTAAAACTGCATCAAGGAACAGTTTCAATCATGTTCAATGACAGATCGCCACTGGAAAAACAAACATATACTTCTAGATTAGTAATAACGATAGAGAAATTATAATAGTTTAACAGTAATAATATCAGGTAACATTTTAAAAGTCCTTATTACATGACAAACAATGTTTTGAGTACTTTCTAATCTGACTTTAATAATAACTATAACAAAAATGAGACTGAATCCCAACAACCTTAACAGCGTTTCATGAAAATGCAAAAATTATAAGTGGGCACATCCAGTAAGAGATGGTAACCACCTGCTCATCATTTATTTATGAGTTCACCAAGACGACAGATTACTTTTACATGGTTCTGCAAATCCTTGTCAATTTAGGGGATAAAAAAGCAGGCTAATTGGAATTAATGTCATTTGGATAAAGCTAGAGCTATCCAGAGTGCTTACCCACTTTGTCCAGCACCCCAATATTATTGACTACCAGTTCCCATTTGAGAGCTCCAGCAGACAATTCAACAGAGCATCAAGCAGGAAGTGTTTATCCAACTGCCTCCATGGCCAGTCACATAAATCTTTTAAATTACATGAATTTTAAACTTATAAGAAATAACAATTAGTACACGGGGGAAATTTACATACTCCTCTGTGAGGTGGACCACTTCTTCGATCATGAGAAAAACTGCGGCCCTCGTCATATTCTCGGTAATCAACATGACTGTAATATCTATTGTAGCTTCCTTCACCAGGTCTGTCTAGTAGTGGTGGTTTCTTTGGCACAATATTAACTACTCTATGGTAGCCATCCTAAAACAGACAAAAAGAAATATATAAAAATCACTAACTTCTCTATTTGGTTTTGGAAAGGTTTTCAAAAAGTACAGGAGTTCTTATCTTTAATCAAATAGGGTAAATGTATAAACAAATAAAGATGCATTAATGAAATAGCATGACTATAACTAATAGCAAGGTTTTCAAATGGATTAAAGGAAATCAAATTGTTCAACGAAGAAAGCCAGGTGTTCAAAATAACATGCAGCAATGCTAAAAATGAATCATAGGTAAAAGAAAAATTATAATTTTTTAATCATTTTAATAAAACATAAACTACAGACAATAAGAATATTACATTAGTTCTAATCTCTATATTGCCTAAGGATTTTAGAAATAAAACACATCTTGGTTTACAATGTTTGAACTGTATGTTCAAAAGAAATACAAGATTTTTACATACAAACAACAGCAAACAGGGAGATAGATACTGAGCTGGAAAGACCAAAAGGAAACATTTTGATATAGATCAAAAGAAAACATTTTGAGGAAAGCTTTTTGCTTTGGATTTGGAAGCAAACCAGAACTCAATATACAATTTGAACTAATTTTCAAAGTTACATGTTGCTAATGTTTTAAAGTTTTAGAAATTGGGTGGGTTTTTTGTGGAGTTGGTAGATAGGACAGAGGGAAAAGAATACCTTAGATTAGAATCTGTTCTAAAATAACCGAACAAAAAGATTTTCAACAGTAGCAAAATTGAAGTAGAGGGCTACAGAATGTGTATCCATAAATAATCTGGTCCTTGGCATTTATGGTAAATCTTTCTATCATACCAAATTAGATATATGTGAAAGAGATCTGAAGAACAAAGCTTTCAAGGTTTAAGATGTGATCAATATGAGTTAACAGATATGAGCCAAAAAACAAAAACAAAAACAAAAAAAAAACCAGCATAAAATCCAGCATTCAGAATGGGTTACTCTACCATCCTAAGCCTCAGTTTCCTCATTTGTAAAACGGGACTAAAGCTAACACCTACCTCATGAAGTTGTTAGAGGACTGTAAACGGAATGTAAAGCACTTAGCACAGGGTCTGGAACACAAGTGCTCAAAAAAAATGTTTGCTCTTTTGATTACTACCTTTGCAAGTCTATGAAAAAGACTAAAAAAAGTGTCTGTTTTCTTAAATTACTTTTTGGCATTAATAAATATAACTATTCAATTATTATCCAGTTACTATGTACTACTCAAATTTCCTAACGGGTAGGAAGTCTGACAACGTGCCAGGGGGAAAAAAGACAAAATAAATAGATCATATCTATTAGACAGCTAAAAAGACCTATTTTACCCCACGGGGATAAGGTGATTTCCTTCTTTAGTATACTAGATATCAAATTGTAAAATATATTCTATAAGCTTACACAGACTATAATACATGAACGAATTTTATTGACTCTTCCAGAAACTGTTTTTCTCAGAGATTTCAATTAAATCTAACCAAATACTGACCTTCTAAAAAAAACTGGCATTCAGCCAAAATTAACATGATTACAATTTATAGCATTTTTCTAATTCAAAATTTCTTTGTTATTCATAAGCTTAAGGAGCCCTGGTGACGTAGTGGTTAAGGGCTTGGCTACTAACCAAAAGGCTGGCAGTTCGAATCCACCAGCTGCTCCTTGGAAACCCTAAGGGGCAGTCCTGCTCTGTCCTGTAGGGTCACTATGAGTTGGAATAGACTTGATGGCAACGGGTATTCATAAGCTTAGAATCACTGATTTCTCCAATTCCAAGCAAACATAAAAATCCACTCCACAATATCCTTATTTGTTTGCTTTGTATATCCTCATTAGGGGGAATGGTGGCGGGGGGGGGGGAAGGGTGGAGTATACCTGCCTAAATACTTCTACAAATAGGAAGCTTATTACTTTACAAAGTTGCCAATTTTGCTGTTCAACTGCCCTAGTTATTAGGAAGTTATTTCAGGATTGTAAAATATATATATAGCAAAACTTCGAAAGAAGTAAAACTTGAGTCACATTTAGTTATACATTTAACAAATGTTTTTACTGAATAATAGTGTGTGAAAATAATCATTCCAAAAGTTGTTAATCAGCAAAAGAAAAAGAAAAAAAACTCTGATAGCTGTTCTTACATCTGGCAATGAAGATCAAATTGGCATTTCCTTTATGTTTTGAGAAAATGTTTAAATTTAAGTAAATTACGCCATCTCTGCTCCGTAGACATCTAATCTTAAAAGCAAACTCCCTATGTATATGAAAAGATTTAAGGAAATAAAGATCATTGTAGCAGCATGTGACAAAGCAGGAATTGTATTTTCAGAGAGAGAGTTCATGTTTTATCCAGATACACCATTCAGGAATTTCTTTTTCTTTCCAATAAAATCCGTAATCATTGGCAAAGATTTCAGAAATTTCCCTTCAAAAACTTTCATTATTAAGAAAATTCAAACAGTACTTTACATTCCCTGCACTGACAGATCTGAATGGAAGTACTACCACTATTTGAAATTCTTGTACAAATCTTACATTGAGCTATAAAACACATAATTTTCCTTTCTAAATGCTAACGTAAGTACATATGGCTTCAGGTACTAATATGTTTGGATCCTCCATTTTAAGAATATCTTAGAAAACATACAAACTAGAAATAAAAATTATGACTTATAAAGAATATATTAAAAGGTTTTTAAGAATAACAGGGTCACTTTTAACTAAAAAAAATAAGCTCAATGGAGTTGAAACATTTCTATTATTTCAAATACACGTATCTCAAATCTTGAGTTTGGAAATAAAATTTGAATTTACCTCAATGAAATCAATTTTTATTGCTCAGTTCATACTAATCATTATAAAAAATATCTACAACTTCCCTATCAATTGAAAAGGTCAGAATAAATCAATCTAAAACAATGTTTGTATATTTATGCCATGTATCAATTTTATGCAGATATTATTAGAATTCTCCCCAAAAAAATATAAAATCTATTGGACTTGCTCCTCCAAAGTAGTATTTATTAATGATATGATCATTCAGACCAAAAATAAAAAGTTTATGTGTTCATAATATCTTTAAAAGACTATTTTACTTGATCATTTATCTACTATGGCAGGATTTGGAAAGTAAATCTTGCATATAAACTTAAATACTTTTATGAATGTTACAATTCTATGAAATTTACATTTTCATGTTTGTCATTATCTTAGTGAAGAATTCCTACAAGGGCCTTTGAATTTCTGAAATAAGGATTTTTCACAGTTCGCTTGTGCTGGTAAAAATCAAGTCAGAATCAGGTACATATCAAATTAGTTTTGCAATTTTGAGATCGGAAAGGGTGATTAATAAGTAATTATTACTTAATTTGCTAAAAATTCCGATTTCATATAACTACCTTTTATGAGAAATGTCTGCATTTCAGTAAGTAAAAGCACCAACTTCATGGTTTATGTTTGACTCAATATAGAAATTCATTGCCAATTTTTCCAACACAAATGTTTAATTTCACTATTAACTAGATACAAATATTCGGGATTACCATGTTTCTTTAAAAAATATTTCTAACATCTCATTAAAATATACTTTGCACCTGTTTTAACATTAAAATATTTTATTTGTAATAGAAATTTTAATACAAAATCCCTTCCTTTTTTTTAAGCAGCTTTATTTCTTAGAGACACATATTTAAATATTTATTTACAGTTGAAATATGGTATCTTGAATTTGCTTCAAAATCTAGAAAATTGGGGGAAGGAAAGTGATGGAGGTACAGACAAAAACAAGATTGGCCATGAGTTGATAAGTGCTGCTGGGATGATTTGTCCATGGGGAGTTCACTATATTATTTTGTCTACTTTTGTATACATTTTTTTCCATGATTAAAGTCAAAACAACTAAAACACACTAACCTACAAGCAAAGTAACTAAGTACGATGGCACATGTAAATAGTTAATGCCATCACTTCCAATCAGAGTCAATCAACTGCAGTAGGAATGTAAGCCTCCTCATAAGGACAGACACCTTAGCAGTCTTATTAACTGCTCTATTCTCAGCACCTGGAACAGCACTTGGCACGTAGTAAACACCACATCCGTAACAGATATTCTACCTCGCTACCTTAATTTTATATTATTTTTTGCATTACGTCCTTTTTACTGAAAAAGTACCACATAAACCACATCTAATTAAAAAATTCTATTACACAGGATGATAGAATTTTGTTTTCATAAATTTGATGTTTGTTTCCTCATATTTTAAGACATGCATTTTTATTTTAGTGCTATTAGTTTTATTCATTCACAGATATGCCAATGAAATATAGTCAGCCCTCTGTACCCGTGGGTTCCGCATCCACAGATCCAACCAACCGTGGATTGAAAATATTCAGGGGAAAAAAAAGTTCCAAAAAGCAAAACTTGAATTTGCCATGGGCTGAGCACTACGCTGAATCCACGCAAATGCAGTGATGTGTAGGCATACCCTGCTGTAGCCTCCCGCCATTTCACACACCTCAGTCTCTCTCCAGCACTCTTTGAGCATTGTTTGCCTTTTGCCTTGTTCTTTTGCTACTTGTGTTGTGTGCACCCTTTGTTTCTGTGAAAAAATGGCTCCTAAAATGCAATTAAGTGGTCAAAGCAATCCCTCAAAGTGCTACCTCTCAACAAGAAAATAAAAATCTTAGATCTTTTGAAAAGTGGCATGTTGCTTGCTGAAGTGGGCTGTAAGGTTGGTTAAGAGCGAATCAAGCATTCACACAATAAAGCAGAGAGAAGCTGCAATTCGTGGACGTGTTCGTGCTGCCCCTATAGTGGCAAAATGGTCTCTCTGATGCGTGACAAAGTGCTTGCAAAGACTGAGAAAGCATTAAATGTTAAGCGTAAGCATTAACAACGATTTTACATAGCATTTACATTGTATTAAGTATTATAAGTAATCGAGGGATCATTTAAAATATGTGGGAGGATGTGCACAGGTCATACATAAATACTATGCCATTTTATATAAGGGACTTGAG